AACAGATGGAGGTAAATGCTTTCAAGAATAACAGTTTTCAGTTTCTTTTTATGCATTTGAAATTATAGAGGGAATGTAAGGAAGATTATATTAAGGTGGGAGGAAGCAATATTGGGATGGGATTACAGGATAGGTAAAATTATGTGCTCTCTCAGGGCCTCTGTAAGGGGACATTTCAAAGGTGCGTTAACCTAGATGCACAGAAACAATGGACAGGGCTTGATTAAGGCAAAGATAAGCCTTTTAGTAAAGAAGCTGTATGCATCAGGCATGACTACTTGCCATGACCTGCACAGTTAGGAGTTTGTCATCAGATCACCCTAAGAGGTTACTTCCCATAGAATCCCTTTTTTTCATCCAGTCTCATTCATTTCTTTGTAGGTAAACTGTTTTGTTCTCCCTCTGAAAGCTTTTTGGATTTTCTCTTTATGCTTTGGAGTTCTGAAATTTCTTTAGGATGTGTCTAAGCATTAGCTTTTCTCATCATCTTGCCTAATGTACAGTCAGCCTTTTTAATAACAGGAGGATCCAAGTTTCCTTAGGCTGAAGGAAACTTCCTTCTGCTCCTTGCATTTCTGTTTCTTGGTCAATTGTTTGAATTTGTTCATCTCAATTGTTTTTCTTTGATGTTGTTTGTTTTATTCATTTTGGGTACGCCTTGGCTAATCCTTCCATTTTATGAATGAAAAACAATGTTAATACCTGGTTTGGGATTCTTTTGTATTTATAAGGGTTTGTTTCCCCAGGAATGCACAAAGAGATAAATTTGACCTTGAGGTATCAGTCATAGTCTAAGGAGGGAGGAAAACCAGTAAACTGAAAATTCAGTCACTGTGTTAGAACGCCTGTGGTGCAGCTTAAGCAAAAAGAAAAGGTGGTGGTATCAGCTAGTATGCCAGGGAATTTCAAGGGTGCCCCTCCCCTAACTTCAGTAGCTGCCTTTGGCTCCTCCAAGGTTGGGCTGGGGAAAGGAAGGGGCAGAAAAGTTCAGACTTAAGAGCTGAAATTTTTCACACCTGTCAGATTGGCTGTCATAAAAACCCCCAACAAATAACTAATGCCAGAGAGGATGCAGCAAAAAGAAAATCGTCATGCATTGTTGGTGGGATTGTAAATTGGTGTAGCCACTATGAAAAACAGAGTGGAAGCTCCTTAAAAAATTGAAAATAGAACTACCATAGGATCCAGCAATTCCATTTCTGGGTATTTATCCAAAGAAGACAAAAACAATAATCTAGAAAGATATATGCACCCCTATGTTTATTACAGCATTAGTTACAACAGCCAAGACATAAGAAGCAACCTATATCCCTCAATAGATGCATGGATAAAGAAGATGTAATATATTATATATGGTATATTTTATATATATATATATAATATAAAGATGTAATATATTATATATGGTATATTATATATATATATATATATTCCAATATATATAATGGAATATCACTTGGCCATAAAAAATGGGATTTTGCCATTTGTGACAACATGGATGGACCTAGAGGGTATTATGTTGGGTGAAATAAGTCAGCCAGAGAAAGACAAATGCAGTATGACTTGACTTATATGTGGAATCTAAAAAACAAACAAACAAAACAGAAAAAGACTTATGGACACAGAGAACAAACTGAGAACAAATTTGCCACAGGGGAAGGAATAAAAGGAGGGGCAAAAAAGGTGAAGGAGATTAAAAGGAAAACTTGCAATTATGAAATAAATGTCATGGGGATGTAACGTACTGCATAGGGAATGTAGTTTAGTCAATACTATAACAACTGTATGGGGACGGTTACTAAACTTACTGCGGTAATTACTTTGTAAGGTATATAAATGTTGGATCGATATGTTGTACAGTTGAAATATAATATTAATTTATAAATGGCAATATATATTTAAATTACACATATCAACTATACTTGATTTTTAAAAAAGAGCTGCAGTCTGGTGGTATGGCTCTCTGGACAAGAAAGTTTAAATCTTTTTCTTTCTCTCATATTCATACATTTCTGAATTTCCTGAAGATTATCACTAAGAATCTTAACTGGAACATTTGTGACACAGCCAATGCCTTTTCTACCTACAGCTACTGAGTTTTTGGTAGCCTGGTCTATCCTACAGATTTGGGGTCCCATCTCTCTTCCAAGCAGTCCTCTTAGGTGAAAAAAAAAAAAAACCTTGATCTAGGCCTGGTCCTTCCCCATGGACCACAGCTGGTCCAGAGGAAACACTAGGGCATCCTTGCATCAGTGGAAACACATCTCTCATTGCTTTGCTGTAGGTAAACTGCTCTAGCCACTGCTTTTGACTTCAGTTTCTCAAGGATGAGCCACTCAGGAGCCTTCAATTTCTCTGTCCTAGAATAGGTAGCCAATGAAGGCTTACAAATTGGAACCTGAGCACCTCCTTTGCAAGATCTGCAGATTGTAAACACCTCATTTTGGAAAGTGGGACTATTTGACTTGAGTTTAAGTTCTAATTTGGAACTCACAACTATGTGACCCTCCATAGATTGTTTAGCACTCTAAGCTCTTGGTTTTCTGATATGCAAAAGGAAAATAATAGCTACCTTGAAGGATGGCTGTAGAGATGAAATGAGATGTATGTAAAGATTCTAAAACCCATTAAGGCCCTCAATGAGTAGCAACCACCACCACCATTCCTCCTCAGACTAGAGTCCCTTCCTACTTCTTTGGCCCATTAATTCCCACTCTGCCTTAAAGACAAAACAAAAAACACCATATATATGGAGAAAATACAAATGACAAACTGAAAATCTACAACTTAATCATAAGCAACGGTGTAACAGCCTTAATATAGAAGCTTTAAAAAATAAAGAATAAAAACAGGAATCCCATATACATGCTAGAGAAATAATCAGGAAACCCACCAAAAAAGAAATTTCATTTTCTTTCACCAGCAGTAGCTGGTGGGAGGGTAAAATGGCATTGCCCCTCCCCACCATAGAGGGAAATAGCAATACATACTTAAATGACACATTCCTGCCCTGGCAGGTGTGGCTCAGTTGATTGGAGTGTCATCCCACAAAACCACAAGGTTGTGGTTTGGTCCCAGATTGGTTTCTCTCCCTCTCCTTCCCTTCCCCTCTAAAAGGTCAATTGTCCATGGGTGAGGATTAAAAAAATAATAATGTATTACACATTCTTTTGATCTAGAAGTCTTGCTTCTAGGAATCCATTCCAAAAACTTAATGGCAGATCTAAGAGATGTGCCCAAGGCTTTTAATTCAGCACTATTTATAGCAACAACAATTTGGAAACAACTCCAATTCCCATCAGTAGGAAACTGATTGAATACACTAGGTATCCACACAGGAGCGAGCCATTGACTGCAGGATATTAATAGTGAAAAAAAGTAATGTGGAGAAATGAGTACAGTAAGCTGTCACTTAACTAATGATGTATATAAAAGAATGGATAAGCCATATTCTTTTTAAATGGCTACCTGCAGGAGGAAGCAGAATGACGGGGATGAAGGAATTAGACCTCTTTAAACATACATTTTTTTTAATAAATGGATTTGCTTGTCTCAACTACCTTGCTAACTCCTTATAGGCATGTCTGTCTTGCCTATATTGGCATGTGTATCTTGTATTTGGCACAATGTACCCATGTCCCATTACAGTATTAAATGTTAACAACTTTGAAGAATTTTAAACATGTGAATAACACAACCAGACGTTTCAGGAAGGTTATCCTAGGCAAGTAATGGAGGCAGTTAGCATTTGCAGTATTTGATTCTCACTCCACTCTCCATAGGCAATTTTACCCACACCCAGTTTACTACTACCTATGTGCCTGATTGGCAGACATCTTTACCTAAATTGTTCCTCTTAGCTCTAGACCAGTATATTCAACTTCGTACTTAATGTCTTCTGGACCTCAAATTCAGCATGGCCTAAATTGAATTTTTCCCTTATTGTTGCATTCTTCCATTGTGACCAAACTCAGCAAATGCCACCACCTAGCCAGTGTATCACCCTTGACACTTCTCCCTTACCACTATTGTCCATTAAGTCTTCTAAAATCTCCCCACTGTTCTCCAAAACTCCCATCTACCATCATCCACGAGACACTGCCAAACACCCCCTTTTCCTCGCATCCAATATAACATGAACTATTCAAATGTGACAGATTTAATTCAGAAAGTTATTACAATCATCTGGGAAAGAACCAAGGCGATGATGCACTAGGGCAGTACATTAAATGTTGGGAAGCTCCTAAGAAAATACTAAAATGCATTCCAAACACTCCCAAAACTGATTATGTAAACCTTTGTTCTAGAATAGTCAGGACCTATTTGGCAACACAATTCTCTTGGTATCAGGAACCATGGCCCATCTACGTACCTGAAGTACTGACATTACCACTTTCAGGTTAAAAGTAGAGAAAGATGCCACATTACTTGGGACCACTGGAAAACCAAGAAAATCTATATGGAGGCTAGTACCTTCCTAGCCACCATATGAGGAGAGGGGATTATTTTTTTCCCCTCTGCCGCAATTTTGATCTTGCCAAACCATTCTGCTTAAAATAGTCCTCAAAGGCCTTTTAATTAGGGGGAAAAGGCCCATCCACTGAGTTTTAGATAATTAATGGATAACCTGTATTTTTAGAATTGTGGGTGGTGGTGGTACAGAAAGGGGTAAGGAGACAAAATGCAACAAGCCGAGTAAATTGTAATTTTTCAGACAAGGAACAAGATTTAATGGCCAATAAGAGTTTAGATTTGAAGATTTTTTGTTCCTAGTGCCTTCTGGTTGACAATTAAAACATTGGTTTAGAGCAGGACTATGCTCACCCACGGCCTTTACACTAATTAGAAAGTCAACATCTTCTGAAGCAGAGGGCAGGAATGATTCACTACTGAGCACCTATGTGCAAGAGCTGTTCTAGGCACTCTGGACTGCATTTACAAACTGCACAAAAATATGAGACTATCAAGAGTTTTAAATAGTTTACTACATAAAGTGATACTCAAACTGTGCTTTAATATTTCCCATACAACGCTACACACTTTAACCTGAGGACATTTGTAAAAGCATAAATTTCTGAAATCCTGGGGAAAATTCCACTAGCTATAAGCTATTTAACTACTCCTTACAGAAACTATCAGAGGACAGTCAACATCATGTAAACAACATACATTTAAATAAGAGACAAAAAGCTTAACATAGTGTTTTTTATTCACAAACTAGAAGTTCAGTTCTAGATGTTTCTCTTGTATTCTTCATTTCTTTTATTAGTAAGCAGAGCCCTATAAAAGGTGGCTTCACCTAGTCCTCAGACTCAGATCCATCTTCATCTTGACTAATCTGGAAGTATCGAAGTTCGTAGGTCTCCTTGTCAGATGCAACCACGCGAAGCCAATCGCGAAGACTGTTCTTCTTAAGGTATTTCTTGGTAAGGTATTTCAAGTATCTTTAAAACAAAAACATGAATTTCATTAAGAAATAATACCTACTATGTAGAGGCCTATTACATATAAGATATGCACTGTTATATTCATCTTTTGGGTTCCCAATTCCCTCCAAAATACCTTATTTGTATTAACTACTGTGCAAGATTGCTCGGGATACAAATAAGGTAGCCTATCAAACCCAATTAGAATTCATTTATACTCTACAAAACCCTTCTCCCATTTCGTTAAACCTCATATTCTTATTTTAGAAGCCAGTATGCAGGAGAGCAGCATAGTAGCCTTCTCTTCAGTCTTACTGCCACAATGAGATTTTTAAAGTAAACATACAATTTCACTCTTCAAATGTAGCATATACTTAACTTTAGCACTATTAACCTTCCAAACCTCAATCCCATGTTGGGTCAACGAGGGGCAACATGTCAACTGGTTCCATTTACAAGTTTAAGATTATCCACAGCCTCACAACTAACATATGGCTGTCTTTATTAAAAGCTTTCAGTACGGTTTAATTTCATCATACCAGCTATTCTCTTCTATTTACACTTCAAAGCACTCCCAGCTACCAAATCTTCCCCAGCCTCCCTGCCCTTTGCTAATGCTGCTCCGTCTATACGCCAACTGGCAACACGATGTTCATTCTCAGGTTTTCTGCAAATTCTTGTGCCTTCCCTATCTCGTTTCATAATATTTACCTGCAAGTCCATAAGACGCTTGAAGACAGAGATACTTCTGTCATCTCCAAATCCCTACTGATTAGTTTATATCCGAGTCAGATTACAGGGCCTATGATTCACTGGACAAGAGGCCTGGACATAACATGCCTGCCTATATTTTCATAATAAATTATACTTATTGACAAGCAGCCTGAATAACTGGGACTGTTAACTAAATATATTTTCCATTCATATAGGCCTTATTAAAGTTCAAAGCACTTTTGACATATCTCAATGACATCAACATATCTAGCCTTACATATGAATAGAGAACATTAGAATTACACATGCAATAATATTCCACAATTACCAAAATTTCACTAAAATATTACAGAAAACAAATACTAACCTTTTAGAGAACTGTTTCTCGGAAACAACTGTGATTTTATTCTTGAAGCGTTCAATATGAACAACGTTCCCAAGATTTCCAGTTTTTCCATTAACTTTAACCTTTTCCCGTAGAAACTGTTCCTATTTTAAAACAGAAAAAATGCAAAACTAGGGAAGGAAACCCTAGATATTCACTAGGGAAGGTACCCTAGGAATAGAGCTTAGGTTAAAATCCAGTATTACATACTAAATCATTATTAAGAACTCTACAATGATAAAAACAAACTGAGTACAGTGATACTTACAAAATTTGCAGAATCAAAAATTCCATCTTCTACTGGATGAGTAAGGTCCAAACCAAACTTCCAGGTTGTCTTCTTAGGCTTCTTGACTTTCTGTTGCAGAAAGTTATCAAATTATGACTCTAAAAAAACTATTCATTTTATATACAAACTTTAAACATCAGTGCAATGATGTACACTGCTATGAGATTATTATATGAAATAGTGTTAAACTCTAAAAAATTGCTTAACTTCTATCAGACACCCCCAACCCCCACTCCTTAAACCAGACTGTCTGAAGGAGGGTACACTCCTTTACTTCATTTAAACCATGTTTTTGTAAAATCCAACAGAAATTTCCCATTCGTCATACAAATGTTTCACAAATACAAAACTCAAAGCACTAAGTATATGGTGAGCTTCCTTTTGGAATCAGAAGATTCCAAAAAGCCCTATTTTTACAACTGAAAAAGTATAAGAGGATCAGTCTACTTTCTACTGCCATTAAAACTAGAAACACCCACCCAGATGTTTGAACCTCTAATAACACCCCCTTTGTTATCAAATTATCAAGAAAAACTTTATGGGCATTATTATTTTCCATGTCCAGTTTCAAATTACCAGGTAATTTTATCTATAAAACAGGCACGGCATTACTACTGCCATCCCAATGCAGATGAGGAATAGCACACCACCTAGTCCAAGTTCAATTACGACCACTTATAATCAGAAAATTTAATCTTTATGTTGTTATAGGCGAGAAAAAGGGAGGGGGACTTTTAGTCTGATAAAGTTTTTTTTAATTTTTTTTTATTTAGAAAAGATATATAACTTAAGTTTTCCAGACCCAAAACTTTTAGACCAATACCACAAAATAAGGCTACACAAATGAAATGGCGCTGTGGTTACTAACCACATATATATTCAGACAATGTAGTGAAAAAGACAAGTCAGTATATATCAGGCCATGTCACCTCCAAATTAGATCTAGCCAAATGGATACCAAGAACTAAGGCCAGTTTGCTCTCTTAAGCAGTCGAGAAGCTTCTGCCAAAAAATACTGGCCAAAACTTGAAATTGGTAAAAAAGATTACTAGGTACTGGGCTTGACAGGATAATTTACAGCTGTGTCGGGGCATTATTTATTTTAGGAGACGCAAAGAATTTCTGTCCGGTGGGGCAGATTAACCCAGGGGGTCTATGTCTCCTTGGACATCATTCCGTTTTGTATATAAACCAGGAGTATTACCCTCCATAACATTTTTAAAAAATTTCCGACACATATCCAACTTTTCTAATGCTCTCTGGACCTTTTATAACGTCTTATTGGTTCCCTTACTTTAAAGCATATTCCTTTTATATTTGACTAAGGCTCGTGACTTGCGCTTTTAAAATAATTCCTTCCTGAGAAAATGAACAAACTTCTTCCCCATCTTAGTTGTTAAGTTCTCTTTAGTAACCAGAGGTACCGCACCACGCGCCTCGGATGTCCCGCCGCCCTAAAAAGGCCGTCAGCCCCATCCGACACCCATGTTTCCATTCTGGTGCGAGTAAGAATAGTACCAGCATTAACCAGGGCGATGGAGGCAAAGAAATGGCCCAAATGCTGTCTGTGCCACTACCCCCGCTCAACGCCCTGTCTCCCTTCCTGCGATCGCACGACCAGCCATCACAATAAGCCAAGGCCAGACCCAGTCGAACAAGACTGCGCGGAACAACTCAGAGGCTTAACATGCTGGTTGTTTTCCTCACCTAGTCTCCATTTCTACCCTCCCTTTCTCTCTAACTAGACAACCTCGACTTTCCAGACACACATCGTGTACTTTGGTAAGACTAGTTCAGCGAGACTACACGCACTCACCGGCGCCATCTTGCAGGTCGTCCGAACGGTGAGAGAGAAACCGGCCGCCGTCGGTACGTATTTATAGCTAAGCGTGCTGCGTCACGCGCCGAATACGTAAGACCTTCGCCCGCCGGAAAAGAACTCGGGGAGGAGCGCGGCGGTCAGTAACCCAGGAAACCGAGGGGGTGGCCCGGGGAGCGTAAGATCAGTAAGCAGTCAGGTTTCCTGCGAGCGCCTTCCAGCGGTCGTGTTTGGAATAACTCGCCGTTTTCCACGGGCGAGGACACACTTTGTAGGAATCATCTTTCCTGGATCTTCTTTTCAATCAGGGCAAGGCATTATCTCAGGTTGTTTGAGATCTCCTGTCGTATACTGCAATTATAATCCTCCAGCAAAAATGTTATTTCTATATCTCTGTCTTGTTTTCTGAATGACTGTTGAGGGAAATCAGTGTTTCCGGAGTTCAAATAAACTAGGTTTCTGGGAGGAGCGACAGGAGTGGGGATGGAAGGCCTTTAACAGAATACTTCTCTTCTCTAACAGAAGTAGCTCACTTGTTCACACGTCAGGTAGAATTTATTCCATGTGACCATGGTTTTTACGGTTAACCCTAAGAATCCTCACTTCCACCCAAAATGCCTCCCAGTTAAAATTTATCGATTATTTTCTGAGACCTAACTACTAAGATGTAAAACGCTCACGAGAGTGGGTGGTGGGTGGTGACAGTCTTGATGACAAAAGAAAAAAATAGCTTTTGAACTTTGAAGAATTGTAGTTGGCGTCAGATTATGAAAGTGGTGTGCCTCTGAGAGTTTTGCATTGGACAGTGACCCTAAACAGGGATTAGTAATAGTGGGAACTATACTTTAATGAAGTATACAACGTGTAGGGTCTGAATAGAGGTATTGAACTCTCAGATATCCATTTCAAGATTTTTTTGGTTCTTTGCTTCAAAAACCACAGTAATTTCATTTCTTTTCCAAACATGAAGGGTGTGGGGTAGGGGGAGGGCAAGAGCAATTAGTATTTCCTTCTCAAGGGTTGCCCAGGCTGCAGAGAAAAATGATCTTTATGGTACTGGATATTTTCGGGGGAAGCCATTAATTGAGGCATTTATTATTTTATTTTGCTTGTTTTTGGCAGCCTTCCATGTTCTGACAAAAAAAAACCCAACAACATTTAAGAACTATTAAGCCATTTGTGCAAATGGGATGTTAAAAACAACACATTTGAAAATAACTAGTAATCCCAAATAACTAGTTAGACATAAGAATGGAAAACATTTTTCTCTTAGGAAAAAAAAAATATTAACCAGAAATGTGCAGATGGTAAGATAAATTTTATAAATAACTCAATTCTTCCCAAACTTTACACACAGAAACAGTATATATTAATGCAATGCCTGTTAGTGCCCCACAAATATATAGTTTGACAACAAATTCTAAAACATGAAATAATAAGAGTCTGAAAAGATCTATGACAATTTTGAACAATGAGGGGAAGTTTTCTTTCCAGCTATTCAAATATGAGATATTGTAATATATGACAGGTATATTGCTGATATATTAAAAACTTCAGTCATTGGATCTACATGATACTGGAGCCTGAATAAATCAGTAAAATAAAATGTAGGGCAATATGGCAGATTAAATTCACAGAGAAATACCTTCCATATATAGCCACCTTTTAAAAAAACTGGTTAAAATATGGTTTTATAGATAATTACTAATGTATGGTTAAGCTGGTGGAAAAGGAAAACAATTTTCTTTTTGAGTCAGGAATGAGAAGCTCTCATGCTCATAGGGGTTTGGGGCTAGAATGATCTCTGCTCAAATAGCATGAAAAAGCTGCAACCTGAAAATGAAGTTTAAGGTGTGCTTTGGATTGGTAGTGCCAGGCAGAAAAAGCAAATGCAAATGACCTCTGGAAAAATGAACTTTAAATACAAGCACAAAGGATTCCCTGAGATAAACTTTGGAGCAATTGAGCTGCCAAAACTTTTTAAAGCACTAAATAACGCAGGAACTAAAATCATGAATTTCATCCATCGATGAAAATAACCTTTAAAAAAACCCTATACAATCAAACTCAAATAAGACACTGTATATATTAGATACAGAAAATGAGGTAAAGGCAAAATTAATGTCTGAATTCTTAGATTCAGAAATCACAATAAACCCCAGCCAGGCATGGTAATTTAAAAGAAATGTACACCTAAACACACTGTAGTGAAACTTCAAAACACAACAGAATTATTTCAAAAGCATTCATAGAGAAAAGACAAAACATTTACCAACAGGAGTTATATTAACTGTGAATATAATGTGAAGCTGACTTCACATTAACAACAGTAGGAGCCAGTAGCAGAGGATTATTATCTTCAAAGTGCTTTGAGAAAAGAACTGTCTACTGAGAGCTATAAAGTACAATGTAAAACTATCTTTCAAGAGATTAGATGCAGTTAAGATATTTTTAGAAAGAAAACCGGAAGTTTGCTACCAGCAGACTTCCAGTAAAGGAATTCTGAAAGATATACTTCAGGAGGAAGACAAATGATCCTAGAAAGAAGGTCTATATGGCAAAAGAAATAGAGAGCAAAGAAAATGTGTAACTTTTGTGAGTAAATCTAAACAAACACCAACTGAATAAAAATAATAACAATCATATGCCAAAATATGATGAATTAGATGAAATGAATTCCTAGAAAAATACAATTTAGAATTTACACAAGAAACAGAAAATCTGAATACTTATATCTTTTGAATAAATTGAATTTTAAATTAAAACTTTTCCACAAGAAAGACACACAGATAGCTTTACCAGTGAAATCTACCAAACATTTGAGAACGAAATAATACCAATTGTAACAAATACCTTTAATGCTCAAACTCATATTCTGTCAATTTACCTTTTAATGCAGAAGAGGGAAGCATATATCCACAGTTCCCTATCCCCATTGGTCAATGATTGTCTGTGGGATGTTGACTTCCTCCTACTTCCACGTTATACACGTGTGAGTGTTGGTGGGGAGGTTAACATAAACCCCCCATGCCTCCTGTTAGAGAAGCCATGGGGAAGAAACTATACCTGCCGCACACTGGTTGCTGTTACCTACTTTCTCTTGAGTGGGCAGTTCAAAAGAACATTCTACCTCAATTCATGGAAGATCCCAGCAGGGTTAAGCCTAATTTGTCCCCAGCACATTCATTTTTTTCTTTTGCTCCTTGCCAGTTTCACACCTTCCAGTTCTTTACTTCTGTTACCTGGGATCATTTCCTAAAACAAACCAAATGCATGTGGCCAATAGGCTAAGACGTTAGTTTTACACACTTTCAGTCATCAACTTACTTTAAAATGAGGCCAGCATAACTTTAATACTAAAGTCTGTGTGTAAAGGACATTGTGAGGAAAAAAAGGATCTCTTTCAATCTCTTTCATGAAAAAAAAATTAAATGTATCGGATATTATATATATATATTTTTTATATTCACAGATATATTATTAGCAAACATATCCAGCAATATGCTATGCAGCAAGTTGGGTGATAATGTCATTATTTGTAGTTTATATGTAATTGTATATGTACAAAATTTAAAAGCATCTACAGATAAATTATCAGAATATGTGAATTTATCAAGATTTCTGGATACAAAGTTCATGTGTAGAGATCAAATGAATATTTATAAACTAGCAATAAATCAGAAGATAAGAGTTAAAGATATTTTAATAACATAAATATATCACATGTCTAAGAAAAAAATAAAAGGTGCGTAAGACCTTTATGTTGAACTATAGACTATAATTGAAAGAAGTTAAAGAAGACCAAATAAATACGAAGACATTGGACTGAAAGACCCAATATAATAAAGATGCCAATTCTCTCCAAACTGGATTATAGATTCAATGTGATCACAAGCAGTAGCTTAATTTCCTTCCTCTCTCCCTCCCTCCCTTCCTTTTCTTTTTTCAAACCAGTTTGAAAAATTTGTATGATAACACAGACACCAGAATAGACAAAATAGACTTGAAGGAAAAATAAAGTGGAAGAACTTGTTCTCTAAATCGAGATTTATTTTAATGATACCATAATTAAAACAGTTGGACATTGCTTCAAAGTTAAACATACAGACCAACAAAATAGAACAAAGAGCCTGAAAGCAGACACACACAAATGGGTTTTTATCAGTTACAGCAAAAGGCCACTTCAGAAGAGAGGAGAAAAGACAGTTCTCACAGCTCTTACTATTTTCCAAACTGAAAATATTTAAATCAGTGTATACTTCCAAAAACATAAACCTTGTGGTCAACATAAAATTTTAAAATCTATCTACACTAGTATTTTGTACTGGAAAGATTATAAATATTTTAATGAATGTTTGTAATATTCTACTAAACATTTATCCATATAAGTACCAATATGTCTTTTGAACCGTGAAAATCTGCTATGACATTTAGCCAAACAAGGCTCTGAACACTATCGTCATGTTGCATTTGTATTTCATACATTTGTTCCTCTTGCAGCTGTCTTGGGTATGTACATCATGAAGTTTCTTACAGGGGACCAGATGGTGTACCTTATTCCAGTATTCTCTTTTGGAAGACTTTGGCTCAGTTAACACCACAAAGAATCATACTGTAACACAGAAAGTAGAAAATGTCTGCATCCCTGATATTTACTTATTATTAAAACCTATCTTATTTGCCAGTAGCTGATTAATAAAACAGGAGTCTGTAAACATTCCTTTACCCAAACTTTCCAGTCATCAATGCTATCACTTTGTAAGTGCTGTTAAAAAAAAAAGAGGGATTTTGTATGTGTAGTAAAAATACCACCTCACAGTATTTTTTATGGTAGTTTCTTTCTGTGGCACATGCTACAAAGTGGAGTATGATGAATGTCATAAGGCATTACACCACCTGTCTCCAAAAAATATACTTGAATGACAGTGCAGCATAGTCCTATGAAGGCAAACTGCACAACTTTGCCCATGGATGTGCTACAGCCTTCTGTGCAAACAACATGGAGGCGCTGAAAGAGAAACTTATTGAA